ACCCACCCACCCCCAAAAACCACTTACCAATGCTTGGAAATCGTGGTAATGCATATAATCTTGGGAATAAACTTAATTTGAGATCAGTTGTAATGACAGTAGTGTAACATACAATCGAATTACTCACAAAATTACTTTTCGAGTAAATATAATAACATTCTTATATACATTATGTATTTTGTATATTTAATTAAAAGAAATTATTAAATTTCGTGATGAACTTGAATCACATTGGGCAATCAGGCTTCGTTTCATTCCAAGTTTTTGTTTTCAAGAGTAATATAACGATAATTAATTACGTTGACTTCGAGAAATCCAACATGTCCTATGTCCAATAAACCATAAATATAAACCAAATTAACGTATTCTGGCTGCTAACTTTAATACGAGAGTTGAATATTATAATATGATCGCACCGTATCAACTACTTGTACCAATTTGTAAATATAAACACTTACAAACGTATCCCCTAATCTTCTTACCATTTATCATAAAAATAAAATAAAAATAACGGTAGTTAACGCAACGATTATTATGAATATATGAATACATGTAAAAAAAGGAATGAAAATATTACTATAACGACGAATAATAAGAATAATAAGATATTACTCGCGCAGTTGGTAGATAGAACATGTTTATTTAATTTAAAATGGGCAAGACTACTTTTGACACAAGGGGAGAAATCCTTGACAGACACAGGCCATTATTAACATATGTAACCGGGTATGACGTCGAGATGAATGTTACGATGCAATTCAAAGGGTTTATTCAAATTATAGTCTTCTTCAAGCGAATCTTTTGTCTAATGAAAATTATGGATCCCGGAATTATCAGTGCAATTACAGAAATTGCTGTTGCCACTTTTTTTTTTTATTTTTATTTTCTTTTGTTGCCTGCCATAAATACTGCGGAAGAAGAAGAAGAGGAAGAAGAAGAAGAAGAAGAAGAAGAAGAAGAAGAAGAAGAAGAAGTGACCGATTGCATAATCGGCTTATGTAGGAGTCACGCCTCTACAGTTCTGCTAGTTTTGGGAAATTTACCAAGTGGAATAATAATAATCACCACGATAATGAGTCTTAACGTTAATATTGCACTCGATGAAATACTCGTCAAAGACATCGCTTCCCGATCATTACATACAATGATATTATTAGTAGGAGGAGCTACCGTTCCTTTTTCAAAGACGAGTTACCTCATCTATTATTTATTATTTAAATATAAATAATATACCGAAAGTTATTAATCGAGGGAAACGAAGGTCAAGGATTTTCAACGATGATTTGCTACTGATAGTACAATGAATAATCGATTAGTTACTTCAGAATTAAACGACTGATTCGCGATATGCATAGTAAGAAAAATTTTACCTCACAATTATCAACGATATGCTGGATTTTCCAATCAATTAAAATCTTTAGACGAATAGGATGTTGATGCTTAATTTTTGGCTTCGTCTCTATCTCTATCGCGTGATGAAATTCAGACGATTATAAGGACAGTGTCGAGCATCAAAAATTTAATCTCAAAACTTTAGCCAGTAGGAGTTTATTCGTAATTATAAGGAATTCACTCTTAATTACAATAAAGCAACGTGGCGATTTAATGGATTAATATCCATACTGAATTCATTATGACTACCTGAGCCATATAATAAGTATTTCATTAATAAAGTGGATAGTTTGTCGATCATAGCCATAATGGAGAAATTGACTGAAATATTTGAGCCATTTTTTCCTTTCTTTTTTTTTTTTCTTTCGTAATAGTTTTTTTTTTTTTTTTTTTTTTTACACATAAAGATTATAATACTACTTCATGCCTTACCAAAAAATGTACGTAAATTGTTTTTTCACTCAGATTAATTGAAAATGAGTGTAAAAGAGGCTTCGTCCAATAATCATAGAAATATTATCCTTGGTATTATCCTAGTGGCGCAGTAAATAACCAACAATAATCATAATTCGGAATTTCTTACTTTGTTGTTTTTTTTTTATTTTTTATTTTTTTTTATTCTTCTTCTATACATTAATTAGAAAGTTAAAATAGAGTTATTTGAATTAAAACTTGAAGTAACTAATATAATACCAATTCTCGTTATGATGAAATCGATAAAACCTGATGTATACCATCATTTTCTTAAAATAGCTGAACAAAGATAACGAGCACCTTATTTCTTATTTTAATTAAACAAATGCGACAACTTCCCAATTGATGTTCTAAATTCACTTTCGGGAATACCTTGTATTCGTAATACTTTTACGTTTAATATCATGCATTAATAAAATAATAATAATCATACATTGATGCTTAGTGTAAAAGTAAATGACATAAAAGGAAGTATTATCAATTAGTTTCCACATTCCAATTTAGTTTCGGTAAAATAATAAACTAAGACAAGTCAATAAAAACAATAAATTAAAAGCCTAAAATCTCGTGATAAAAGAAGGGGGGGGGAAGAGCCTTTCTATAAAAGCAAACAATTAGATAACTTTAAAAGTGATTCAAGGCCATCATTTTCCGCCAGCGATACAATTTTATTTTTATTTATTTGTATTTCACGAGCTGCTTCGTGTGCCTCTCGACTATAATAGTTTTGTACGCATGAGTTTACTTATAAAAATAAATGTACTATAAAGATGCTTAACAAAACATCTCACAAACTCAATTCCATACACGCACACACGCACAGGCACGCACTGTTTCCACAAGATACATTGTATTTACCGAATAACTCGTCGTAAATACGAAAGACATTTTACAGTCAAATATGTTCTCTTATATTTTACCAACGTGGAAATTGAGATAAAAATAAATTAATATTATCTAAAGAAAAATTAGTATTTTTCTACATTGCAATTGTTCCTACTCATACCTTGTATGATTTACAAATATTTAAAAGAAAAAAAAAAACAAAAAAAAAAAACAAACAAAAACAAATAAAAAATAAAAATTCATAATTAACTTTTATGTGTATGTTACTCGAATTTACAATAATACGATGATGCTCTTCAATATAATTGTAAAAAGACACATATAATGGTTAAAAAACAAAAAAATTGTTCTATGTCAAATAGTAAGCTCTAAATATTGCAATTGCGAATTAAAGTTTCTCGCAATTTGCATTATCGGCGATACAGAACCATCGGAATGTCTCATCAATCGAACCAGCGACTGATACGTCCAGATTATCCAAAATTCACGTACATATGGTTTTAAACTTTATTTATAATCATTTACATGCTCTTCCCAATTAATGAAACATCGTAATGACGATTTCCAACATTATGTGAAAATAAGAAATGTTAAATAAATATTTTTTGCTTTATCGGCAGTAATTTCTCGTTCGGAATTCTTAATTCTTTAATAGAAACTATCAATATCATCATTATTTTAGTACTTAATTCCATAATGTGAATATAAACCAGAAATATCATTGGAACATTCGTTTCGCATATCGAAAGTATAAATATTATAAAAATTTTATATACACGAACATATATAATAAAAGTGTAAAATGTATATAAAATATTTACAAAGAAAAGAAAGAAGGAAAAAAAGTAGAACAAGACTAATATTTATTGGCACCTTCTTTGCGTTTTTATAAGCCTATTAATTTATACATTTTCTACTAATTCCTTCCACATTTATTATTTATTTCTATCAATAATAAAATTTACATGCTAATTATTCATTCACATTCTTCGAATGTTCTCTAATATTTTTGGAATATATTGAAAATACTGGAATATGTCTTGCGATATCATAAAATAATCTCTTCGAGTTGAATAATTGAAAATTCATACATCGTGTGCGAGATAAAGAGACCGACAGGTCGACCTTCACCACAAATCCAGACTAGACAGCCAACAGTCTGTGCTTATCGTTGACCCAACCGTTAACGACAAAGTTACTGTGCCCATTTTGCTTAGGGGAGACATATTTGGGCAGTGTACTTTTCTTCTTTTCCGCTTGCCTTTGGTCATACTTAGCTTTATTGTAACAGAGTACGCCAGCTATTGCCAATACCATTCCAAAAATGTTTGTGCCTGTCACTGGATTACCAAGAATAAACAACGTCACCACTATCACAAATATTCGCTTACTTGCACTGGTCACTGCGTAAGTTAACGGTGTCACTATAGACATTACAGAGAATGCTACGATATTCTGCATCCAATTTAAGAAACCGTCGAAAATTAATAAGTTTAAAGTTCTACTGCTGATGTGAACAGCACCGCCTGTCGCCGGATCGTAAAGGAGATTTCTTACGTCATAAACTAACCATACTGGTAAAAACAAAAATAAAGCTAACCGACTTAAGATTATTAGTAGTCTTAAATGATGAACTCCAGTATCGTGTAGTACCTATAACAGAAGAAAAAAGATAATAATTTTATTTCTTGGTAAAGAAGCAAGATATATACTGTGAAAAATAAAAATTACAATATATATATATATATATATATATATATATCATTAGACGTAAGGACATAAATTGACTATTTAAAAGTAGATAACGATTGATCTGTTTGATAGCGGGGGTGGGAGGGAGGGAGGGAGGGGAGGGGACTTATCTAAAAACCATAAATAAAAGTCATTTTTAATTAATGCAATCAAAGAACCATCATTGTTATTTAAAATTACCTTTGCGAACTAACAATTCATTTAAGATAAGAAGTGGTATGATTAAATATAATGATCCTGTATAATCGTCATGCAATTTTTATAGTATGCAATATCAGTTTTACAGTCTTTATAACCAACGTCTAGAGCAATGCGTTAATAATCGCATCTAACTATTTGAAATATGACTATTTTTTTCTTATATATGTGTGTGTAGAATATCAATTAAACAATAACATATTGAAGTTTCTTCTAGTAATGAAAACTTTTATATAAGTGGATTTTGATTTTTTTAACGATATCGCTAAATCTGACATAAGACAAGCACTAAAGATCCGAGGGCTGGCGAACGGTTAAAATAGAATATAAATGTACAAACCTTTTTTGAATAAATATTTTGCAATGAAAAGGCCATCGTCGAAGCTAAAGCACTGAAGAGCCCGGTAAAATTGAAACTAAGTTCGGTTAATGTCGCTATAGCCACACCGCCAACAATGGGCAACAGGCTGAGGTATACTTTTCTGGTTTGACGCTCTTGTAAAATCAACCTGGACAGTACGACCGTGAAGAGAGGCATCGTAGCTTTCACTGTGGATAAAGTCAAACATGAATTAATCCCAACGAATAACGGCAAATTACAAAGATTAAAGAATAGCTTGTGAAATATATTCATTACGCTGTGATTAATCGAAAATGTCAAAATTATCAATGAATATCATATCATAAGTAGTCTATGCTTTATCTTTACAAGCATTCACCAAGTAACGACAGACAGTTGCTTTAAAAAACAGCTCTTTACGTTCTCTTCTTATGAGCATTGTAATATGTAATTGACAATTAGAAGAGAACGACTATATCCGTATTAAAACGATCGGTTATAATAATTATTAATTATTAATTCTTGCGAAAAAATAACGGATTAACGGTTATGAATTTCGTAGTAGAGAAATTTGGCATTACAACAGCCCCTGGACTAATCATTTTTCACCGATTTTTCGACTTCGAAGCCATTGCTCGAGTCTATAATAAAAGCAGTGGCTAAATAGCAATTACGGCTAAACGAATTGGCTCGATTGCACTTTCACTTTGACAATTGCGCTTGATCGCCTTCGATCGGGAAACCATAATAATAATTGAAATTGCAAAAAGCGATTTATCGAGTGGAAGTCTAAGAGATGAAGTGAAATAACATCGATGGGTAGTACAGGACGAGGCTCGTGCAAATGCCGAACCACGAGCTTTTACATCAACGTGTACACGGCTGACATTGTGCATTTTATCCTTTTTAAAATGCCCGATTAAACATTAGGCAACAGGTAAATGTTTCGTCGCTTAACGATCGTTCGATCGATCTGCGAAAGTCGAAAATTTCGTGCTCGGAAGGAAGCTGCTAATGAGTTCCGTTACTTTGGACATTTGTACATCGGTTAATACGGGCAAAACATACGGTAATGTTTATATATGAGAAAATTGATAATATTGGTAAATGTTTAGAGGGACGAGAAGGAGCTTCTTGATCACATTCAGATCACATTGAGATCACATTTACAAATGCATAATAGCAGCTATTTTCATTACTCTAACTATATAAGGACGCGTGTTTATAATAAATTGGCAAGCAAAAATTGGCATTAAATTACGTATTTGAATGTTGGCACTTTGGTGCAAATAATTTCGCCGATAATACAAATCAATGGCAATCTTGAAAATAGAACGGTTATCGTATTTTTGACAATAACGATGCGAGTGAGTGCACGTGAGCGTACGTGAGAGAGGGAGGATGAGTGAGTGCGTGAGCGCGCGCGTGCGCGTGTGTGTGTAAGAGAGAGAGAGAGAGAGAGAGAGAGAGAGAGAGAGAGAGAGAGAGATAGTAGACCGGCCGCCATTTGGAAGTTGATAAATAAATTGAAAACAAAATTGGTAAATTTTGCAACGATCATCGTAAAGGCCAAAGACCAACTCCAGCTGCTTTTCCTAAACGCGACTCTCGCACACGTTGCCGGCCACGGATGATAAAAATTTTCCGCTCGTTCATGGTATTTCATAGTGGTCACCCGGGTCCTTTCAACTCAAACCCGAGAGCTCCTTATTCGTCACGAGGAAAGAGGGAGAAAATGAGTATGCGCGCGCGCGGGTCTATGTGCGTGTCTGTGTGTGTGTGTGTGTGTGTGTGAGAGAGAGAGAGGGAGAGAAAGTGAGTCGGCCTAAGCATTACCAGTGTGAGCGTAGGATACGGGCACCTTCCAGATGCTGACGTGGCTGAGGACGTTGCCCAGGAATTTGCCAAAGGCGAGCGGTACGATGAGCCTGAAGTAGTAATTCCAGGTGATGAGCGTTCTGCTGGATCTGCGCACTCCCCAGAGGTTGAAGAGCGGCCCCGAGAAGAGGCTGATGGTCGTCAGCTGGACGATGGTGACGGTTATGGGATACGGGAAGTCGGAGAGCAGGGCTTTGGCGGTGACGTTGCTCGACGAGGTGACGGCGTACCAGAGTGGACAGAGAAAGACGATCGCAAGGAACTCGCGTCTCTCCTTGCTCTCCTCCACGTTTTGACCCATCCTGAGCCTAGTCTCGCTTACCTCCTCCTCTCGACTCTCGTCGTCCGATCCCGCAGCCTTCCCAACTGGGCTTAACCTTAATGGGCGCCGCTTGATGCCATTACGTGCGCGCTCGGCCACTCTTTCGCGCAAGCGCGCGCACGCATGCACGCACGTACGCACGCACGCACGCACGACGCACGCACGAACGCACGCATGCACGCACGTACACGGGATCCTGGACTCGCTCGGCGAACAGGGAAAGTCCTCGAGACAAGCCGCGACTTTACGACTGTACGGGGACGCTGCTCGTTGATCCCGATCCTGGTACTGATGTTCCTACTGATGCTGATGCCAATGCACGAGACGACATCGCTCGAGATTACGCGGATTGGGCAAGCGCCAGTTAAAGAAGCCCCATTTAATCTTTTCTCCTTATCGCGACTCGTCGGCGCTGTGTCGCTGCGAGTGGCAGTACGGAAAAGGGAGAGGGAGGCGTAGCCCCACTGTCGCTAGCTTCAACGATTCGCGCACACCAACGCACCCACCCATCCGCGCTCGCATACACTCGCTCACGCGCCCTCGCATGCATACGCGCATCTATATATAGCCACACGAGCGATATGTGTTGCGGTCTTTTTTTAAGACGGACAAATGCTGTCAAAGGCATTCGTTTGCTCTTATTATCTTTAATTTGATTATGAAATGTCGCGTGTAGCTGTTTTATTGATTGACAAGCAAGGAGTTTAAATGGATCGTTTATCAGCTGATTTCCCATGCGCTATGCGTTGAATTGCGCCATATGGTCGTTTGGTACACCGTAGCTGTATAAGTAGCTAATTAAGTATATTTGTGTCGTGGGACACTGATAACGCATATGCTTTGAGGAATTTATGGATTATTTATTATATTACCATCGACGTGTATCTGTCTGATAACTACATTTTGTTATTTTCCAGTCCTTTCTTAAACAAATGGATAGCTAAAAATATCTTGTAAATAAATAAATAAATATATATATGCGCGCGTGCGTGTGCGTGTGTGTGTAGATCATTGTACTATTTACTTATATTTTATCTAATAATTTTATACAATTTTATTTTACTTGTTTTATACAATGCATTACATGTTCTATAAATTTTTGCTACGTTTTGTCACTTACACTTTTATCGGTAATTAACATAGTAGTTTACTCAAAGTTTTTCATTTATTAATTATGTTTAATAATGAGTTTCAATGAAAAATGCTAAATATATTGAATGTAGATGTTTTTTTTGTTTTTTTTTTTTTTTTTTTTTTTTTTTTTTTTTTGTTGTTGTAAAATTTTTATTTCAATTGTTCTTTAAAATAATATGATAAATAACGAAATGCTCTCGACTCCTTCATACTCTCTGAATAAATTTTGTTTAACAAAATTATTTAAGACTTGATGTTATATGCAAATAGTGAAATTTATACGTAACTTTCTTGAAAAAACCGGCAATACGTTTATTAAAGGAAGGGACTGTCATGTTAATTATTATTATTAAATTGTACTTAATATCTTGAAAAAACAAGAGCATTTTTGTTTAAATATTCAAATACGAAAACTCACGGGGAAAAATGTAAATAAATTGCTGAAAAACAAAATGAATAATGAAGTATCAGCGTTGCTTGCAAGTTCTTCGATTAATTATTCATTATGGTAAATAAGATCACGAGTTCTTATATTTTTGACGATTTAAGTAAATAATAAAAAGTATGTGATTAATACATAGCAAACAGTGTATGATAAGTATTATCATTTTGGATTTGATTTTATTAAATAAAGCCTCGCTTACCCCGATAGATAATGGAAAAGTAGAGTAAAATAATTACACGCATGAACATGAAGCGATGATAATTTTTATAATATGAGGAGACCTTTTATGTTTGCAAAAATATTTGGTCTTTGAAAGTTTACGTCGAGTTATACCGTGAGAAAATAATCTCGATAGTTTTATACTTCGAAATACTTGGAAATTTGAAAATCTTCAAAGAATATACCAACGATTAATACGTAGGATAATTTTTGTATTTGTTCAATGTAATAAGTTTTTGAGAAGAATTATTAAAAAAGAAACACTATTTAAAAAAAAAAAAAAAACACAAAAAGCATTTATTTTATTGTATGTAAATCCAACGCCCCGTTCTCAATTTCTGCAATAAACAATATATATTACAATATCTTTACATGCATATTCTTTGTTACTATTATCGTATTTCTATTGGATTAAAGTTGAAAAACAACAACAATAATTTGTTGCTTATGTTGGATAATAATGAGAGTTTGTGCTAATCTTTTGCTTACTCGAATTTGTATTACTTGCTCGATAAGTAATTATTGTAAATCAAATTAATGTATATAATACACACGCACATGCGCGCGCGCGCGCGCGCACACACACACACACACATAAATATAAAATTTTTAGATTATTTCTACAAAATGAACGTTAAATGCTAAAGTAGAAAAAGAAAATGCTGTCGATAAATTTGACATAAAAGTTAATATATGTAATAGTTAACGTCGAAATTTCTCGCCGAATATCAAATAATATTATTTTGTATATATATATTTCAACAATTGCATTTTTAATCGAATTTTTCACGATAATGCACATTATTGAGCAAAAATAATATTTTTATTAGAAATCAATGTAGTTAGTTGTTCGATAGTTGTTTATACTCGTTATTATAACAATGAAAATATTTAATATGACGTGGCCTTATCAATTAATATACATGTAAAAAGTATTTTAATATTATTATTCCTAGACGAATTTGACTATTTATATCAAGATTATAATCAATTTTATTATAATTATAATAAATTTCTATGTACTTCAAAATTATCAGCGAAATGCTGTAAGAAATTAATAAATAATTACATCAGAAATTACATGAAATTTATATGTTTATATTGTAGTCTTATTGCCTCAGGAATGATGATTAAGGATAAGATTAATGTAAGCTCGCCTGTTTTATGTTGCCCTTGTACTATTCTATATATAATTCTTCTTAAATTTTCATTTTTCTTTCGTTCAATTCTTCCGCCATCGAGGAAAATCACTCGATTTAGTGGCTTTTATCATTGACGTTTACACACTTTTTTTTTTTTTTTTTTTTTTTTTTTTTTTTTGTGTAAACTAGCACAATAAGTCATTCCTAAAACATACATTTGCCCTTGAAGTTTTAACGGTTTCGTATAGCGCTTAAGTAAGAAATATCTCATTAACTTAAGAATTATCTATTAAATAAATTGTAGTATAATTTTTTATTTCAACGTATCGGAAAGTAAAATGTCTATTTTAATTAATTGATAATTTATAATTTTCTTTCTATTTCTATAAGTAATTTAGAAATTCAAATAATTTTTTTTTTTTTTTTTTTAATGTTTTATTATACATCGTTATTCCATACAAATTTGTTTTAGCATTCTCATGATTTGCTATATTCAAATTACTACGTAAATATAATTATTTTTCAAAATAATTAATGCTAATTGAACATAAATATATTTTTTTCAATTAATAGAAAGAAAATTAAATATCACTATGCTTCATTTAGGCTTATTGTTTTCAATGTTCTCAATACTCTTAAATAACATATTAATTTTGATAAATAAGTTATGAAAACATTTTGAATTAAGAATGTTTGATAATAAATATCCGGAAAATTTTCGCTTATAATATTTCCTAATGCGAATTTGTAAAACTTTGAAATAAATTTATATAAACAGACAATTTTTTAAAATCTCATTTTATTATAAATATTTAATAATTATATTAAGAAACATATTTTTGTATTTATAGCGTAACTAATTAACAAATTATATACTTTTCTAAGAGTGTGTGTAATAAGAATTTTCGGATTCAAAATAAAATATTCTTTATCAAATACAGATAACTTATTTAATTATTTATATTTTACATATATTACTTTAATATACAAAATGAACTAAAATATTGAATTTCTATAAATAAAACTCATGTAATATTAAAAATATATAGAAATTTCATCTGTAAAATTAAAGTTAAAAATACAAAGTTTTCTGTATTTACACACATTAAAAAATACAAATATCTATATATATATATATATATATATATATATTCAAAGATTTAGATTTTATAACAAAATTGGTGTGCAATGTTTACTAAATAATGTATAACATCTTATTTTCATTCGATAATTAAAATAGCAAAAATTCTACATCTTATTAAATGAACATAAATTAGGTTAATAATTAAATTTTTCTATTCAATATATTCTTCATACATTCTTTAATAACTTTGCACACCATTAATTATGGTTTTTCGAAAAATGAAAAAATACTCAATTAAGTTTATGTATTTCTTTGCATACATTCTTTGATTTAATAGCATTGTTATCTAGATTAAAATCTTTGTACTTCGAATTTGACTACACTTTTACTCATAAACTAAACTTGTAATCGGTCAAAAATTCACTGTTTGGTCAAAATCGTTTTTAATTTCTGTTCATAAAATCGATATATCTTTTGATGTTTAACATCAAACGAAAGCCTCAATACCATAATTCTGATATCTAATAGTATTTTCTTATATTAAACTAATTTAAAAATATAATCAATGTAATTTAAATATATATATATATATATATATATATATATATATGTGTGTGTGCGTGTGTGTGTGTGCGCGCGCGCGCGCGCGCGTGTGTGTGTGTTTCTTAAACCTTTATCAGACATCTGATTTTTACTTGTCAGTTATGAATTTTATTCTATATGTTATAAACATAGCATATAGAATATGCCGTGAAATATTTAAATAGTTACAAGTTTATTTTATTTTTTAAAATGTTTTCAAAATTTAATGCTACAAGTTTTTATTAATGCATATGAAATTATGTATAAAGTATTATACATAAAATTTAGCTACTTTGAAAAGTATCTTTGCAATGTTGATAAAGGATTAAAAATTTATTTGGAAAACTTGATATATTTTTTAATAATACATCACACCGAAAGCATTATTGATACTTTCAATTTCTATTCTTAAACATAAGTTTTTCATATTACAATAATGCATTTGCAGTCTGTTTATCACTATTCTTTAATAATCATATTTTAGGAATAACAATTTCATGCTTTTTTGCATTAATAACTTAATATTTATATACCTTAAACTTTAGAATATTTTTATATTTACGATAAAGTTTTTATAAATATTTCCTAATTATATAAAGCTTTTTCATTATCAGAAAAAGTACATTACTTTAAAAAACAAAATTTAAAGTACCAGCAAACTGAAAGTATATTATTTTTTTTATGATATTAATAAACTTGATCATAAAACGAAAACGGTCCATTATTAAATACTGGAATATTATTAATCATAATAGTTAATAAATACTGACTATATTCATAACATGAATTGCACTGCTCTTTATCTGTAATTAATATGCAATTAGTATGACGGCAGTATCCCAAATCATCTTTATAAACAACACAGTCCTTGTCCACTTCAAATTCACTAGTTAGAATTCCTTGACAAACTTTTATGGCATCAAACTTTGATATTATATCTAAAAGTGATCCAACATCCTTTAGAATATTAGGTGTGTAAGGATGATTTTTATTTAATGTCTTGCCGTGAATGGAATAATGTATATCGCCACTGCTATTGAGAACAATATTCTTTTCGTACATGACGACTAATGCTTCGTTTTCACTAACGGTACACTCTTTAGAAAAAGCAAATACTTTATCGTTCCCTATTGGCAACTGAGATATACTCCAAGATTCCGGCAGCAATTTGGCATAATAGTTAAAATTTTTCTGCAACTGTTCATAGACTGTGAGTTCTTTTGTCTCAAAACTATTTTCTTCTTTTACTTGCTCAATGTGATCTAACAAAAAGATGAAGTACGTTTAAAAAATAATATTAACATTATATGCTTTTCTACGTAAAATAATCAATAATTTTCATACAATACGAATTTATAATGCAAATCTTAATAAACAATATTACGTAATCACAAGTGGTGATTTAAAAATATTACTTTCACAAAAATATTTCTCAATTTAATATTTTTATATAAAACATAATAAATGACATTATGATTTTTTACCAAGATTTTACTTCCATTCCGATTATTATAGACTGACCATTTAAAGAAACAATTACTGCATGTTAATTTATATATTTATATCATTAGCTACGCTAAGTTAATCTACATTTAGCTTTGTAAGCAATTTAATCATTTACGTAAATTGAAACAATAGATAGAACTTTACCCTCTAAATTTTCAGACTTAATTCGTTGAGGCTCATCTTCTGGGAATTGAAACATTTCTTGTTTTATAGTTAAAAGAAGTTGTTCAGAGGCTGATAAATCTTTAACTATATCTTGTAACGTTGACTCTACATTTGTCGATTTAGTCTGATAATTAATTTTATTATTATCTAAATAGGCTGTCAATATTTTGTAATTACTATTACTATTATTACTACTGGTATTATTGTTTTCAGAAAATATAGTTGGTACAGCATCGGTAACTAAACGGGATCGCTAGAAAATAAAAGTAATATTATTATTAGAGTAAAATATTGCAAAAGATTAATACAATTGTAATAACACATAGACGAATGATTTTAAATTGCATATATCATTCAACAAGCAATTATATAATGTTAATATAAATTAAAAAAATTGATTATATTATAAATTAATAAAATTTATATTACTCAAAAGCATTATTGAACTTTCATAAGAAGTTTCATGAGAAAATTACACTCGGTCAAAATTTATTTGAACTTTTCATTTGAAATTTAATTTTAAATTAATGAACAATACGATTATTTTTATAAAATCGTACGTATAAGATATATTTTAAAATTCAAATAAAATAAAATTACTTATGAACTTACTGGCACGTTGGAATTTTTTTCAAAATAGCGCCTAATGAATTTCGATTCAAAATGCTTTTCACAGACTAATTGATAAGGTGTTAGAATTTCAATTCCTGGTATATTCGATGCCCATCTGCGAGCTTTTTGCTCATCTTTCGGGCACTGAAACATGGATCTTTTCTCTTCATAATTTTTTCGATTGCGATATGAACAGGACGGAACGACGCATTTACGATTCGTCATTTTTATAAGTTTTCACATAAAAATTGTCCTATTAAAATTATCAATAATCCTAATAGATTTTAGGAAAACGCATAGGTTAATTTTGCATGAGTTACAACACTAGTTCTAACCGGCTGATATGAAATGTATATATCAATATAGGTATACATATATGTAGATGTGGTGCAAATGAATTCTGCTGGGTTATTTTTTTATTACTTCGGTTTAGGCAGGGAAGATTTATGACGATCACAACGGCCTTGCACAAATTACGTTTTACACTTTATAACAAATGTTTCTAATAAGGGTCATTCTACATCAATCCCAATAGGTTGTTCTTCATAGACTTGAATCTTATTCTGCTTGATGTTGTGTATAAATATCTTTATCTTTTCTATTATTTTTGGCGCTGTTCGTAAAATTCATCATTTGAAATATAATACGATGTACAAAGTACTTATATTCAACTACCGTTATTTGACTATGTGACACTAAACTCTCTTCGAGATGTTTATAACGTCCAGCTAATAATTAAAACTATAAATCTACAGTATCGTGATATCAGAGATTGATCTGCTCGTTACTATGTACTTATTTATCATGTTTTAATTGGTATATAATGTCACGTCATTGCAGAGAATTGACGTGTCAGATTACACGACGGTCATGAAATATATTTCCCCTAGTTATGTATGCATGCCAACCTTTGTAGATTTGGAGCTAAAATTGATAATAAATAATAATAAAAAGCAGGAATTTTTAAATGTTAAGTCAGTATTTTATGTAGTTTCTACTCGAATAAAAATTAAGCAATAAAATATCTTACATTAATGTTTTCAATAATATTGAAGTTTATCATATTATAACAGTCAAAATATTTCTAATAAAATCAATAATTTTTAATAGAGTTCATATTTTATACTAAAAAGTTTTAAAAAATGTTATTGCACTTATTAATGCCTATTTAACTAGACTAATCGCAGTTATATAATCTTTATAATAATAATAATAATAATGATAATAATAATAATAATAATAATAATAATAATAATAATAATAATAATAAAGTAACTTTAAATAAATTGATAATAAACTTCTAAAGCTTACTCAAAATGCATGAATAATATAAAACAGAATTATATTTTATAAATATAAAGGTAAAAAAATATATTAAACACGATATATTAGATTTATGAAAATTAAAAATTTTTTAAAAAGATAAGAATTATTTTATGTATTTTTGCTTCTGATCGTACATATATTACCGATTATTTCTGCTTTCTTTTATGTATATATGTATATATATGTATATATATATATATATATATATGTATATATATATATATATATATTTCAATATGCTTGCATAGATAAACATATTTCTATGTATTTTAAATTATAATTCTATAAAATAGTTATAGCATTTATTTAAATATTTAAATAAACTTAACTTAATTGAATAATTTAAATATTTAATTTTAATTATTTAAATTAATGTTTCTACTTATATTGGTCTGTAATATATACTTAAATTAATTAATTACCTGGTTTCACCTATTATACTGAACAAGCAATTGTATGTATTAAATAAATTAAAAATTTATTTTTAAATCTTTTTTCTAATCTAATTAAATTCTACTATAATTATCAAATCATTTAAATACAACATTAAATGCAATCTCACATCTAATATATTAATTTTACTATTTATATTAATAAAATGCTTAAATACAATCGATCACTTTATTGAACAATTTTATTTTCAAGTGACAATGAAATGGTTCGAAACAACTCTTTTTAAAATCGTTTAGAACGTTCGTGTAAATAACGAACTTCTTGAATTGTAACAAAGATTCGAAATTAATTGTAAGTTAATTCGAAACAGCTGACGATGTACGACTCAATAATGACGTCACAGTGATAGCGCGATTTGTCTGGTGACAGACTTTCTTATGCCTCTAACCGTAATTTCTAATAAAGTAAGAAGTTTATTTGGATGCAATTTCATATGAAGGCTTTTGGGTAGATGTTATTTTAACTTTTTTACATACAATTAATTAAAATGAAGTACCTAAAATGTAGCCGAATAAGTCTGTATATACTTACATTAGTGAGTTTTGGTAAGTAGTTCATATGTAACCTAACAATAGATAAAAGCATAAATCATAACAGAAGTTTTTGTTTATTACATGTTATTATGCATTATTTAGTTATTAATTTTAACTAACACGTCAATCGTTATACCTCTGTCAATATGTATTTGTTACAGTTGCTGCAAATAGAATCAAAGACATGTTATACATGCCAATTAGTGGAGTTGCAGCTTGTTTTCGCAGACATAATGGAACACATCAGTTTGGATGTTCATGTAAGAGTATAGAAATTGAGCTAATTAATGATTTCAACTTAATATTATTAAAATGGTAATTTGAAGAAAATTTTTATTTGTTTTTGCAGCAAGTAAATCAGGTAGTATAGGTGTAATTCATATAGTTGAAAATGAAGGGGACGTACAGTGGTTGGAAACAAATAGTACTGCGGGACCTTATACGATAGTGTTATCCTTTAATATGTTTAATATGGAGATTTTGAAGCGATTTAAAAATTCAAATAATGTAAATGGTGTTCTGTTAACTGATAGTACGAGAAATTCAGAGCACCCATCAAGTTATTCTCCAGACGATAGTTGCCCAAACAGGTATTCTGGATCTAAATTATGTGATAAGCCTTGGAATCCCTATGGTTCTTCGATACTTTTGGAAGACTGGCCTTTTCCTATGTTTTATATGAAGGTAATAATATTAAAAGAATTATTTATTAATTTTATTTAAATAGTGATTATAGGAAAAATAGGTATTTAATTTATAATTAATCATTTGATTATATGTTGAAATTTAAAAAATTTTTTAGGACGAAGAAGCTCTTAGTAAAATAAAATTGTGCTATCTAAAGTACAATGCCCATAATCGAGAAAAACAGGCTGAACGATCTTTGTGTGCACTTGAAATGAAGTCGTTTATGTTTGCTGCTCTCAATTCAGAGTCTTGTATTAGGCGTAGTACATATAGTATCAATTTTAATCCAGATGTTTTTTGTGATCCACTCGGTGATAGAAATATTCATTGGCCAGTAGGACCTATGAACGATGATGTAAAATCTGTCATTATGGTCATTGCTAAATTAGATGCCAACTCTTTGTATGAAAAATTAGTGCCAGGAGCTGGCAGTACAGTTACTGGATTAGTAACTTTATTAGCAACTGCCATTTACCTGCATTATTTGAATGCTACAGTTAGCGGTAAGAATTTTAGAGACATTAATTATTTTGATTGAAAATTAATAACTGCCAAGAGATTCAAAATTATATATTACAATTAGAATGCTTTAACGTACATTTATTATTATTCTACATTTATGAGTGTTTGCATTATAAATAAATCATGTTAAATATTAAATGTATACAATTATGATAATATGGTAATTATTATTATTTATTTTAGATAAGAATATTGTTTTTTCATTATTAAATGGAGAGTCGTTGGACTATATAGGATCTAGCCGATTGGTTTACGATCTTAAACAAGAAAACTTTCGTGCGTTAGGTGGCAAATTACTAAAACTTGATCAAATTAATTCTGTGATTGAACTTGGTCAGTTAGGAAAAGGGCCACTGTATTTGCATACAAATAATTTTAATGCCGATGATGCAATGTTAAGTAATTTACAAAGTAAGTTGAGTGCTAAATTATTAGAAAACAGTAATCCACCAGCATCTGTACAAAGTTTTTTAAAAGAGAATTCAAGCTTACCAGTCATTGTAATAGCAAATCATGGGACAGAGTTTGTTAATAAATACTATAACAGCTTATTGGACGATTTAGAAGGACTAGGATACTCAAGGTACAAGTTTATACTCTACTTTATTTATATTCTAAATCTATGTTCAACGGAATAAACTACGTCATTATTGTAGCTTTGGGCTTAAAAATTTAAAAGGCTCGTGCATGTCGTTGATATATTAAATGTCGAGAAGAATCATTTATATTTCATTTATAGAAACTTGGATAAGAAATATTAATAACGTAATTATTGTATTCAATATTAAAAACATTAATAGTAAGGGTAAGGGCTCGGATCAAGCCTAATCCGACCGGCCGAAAGCATTTTACCACCTTACATTAATTCTCGTATTGGCTTGTGCATTTGACCTTTTCAGTAACAGTTCGTTGAAGGACCTGACGTTGAGTCTGTCGCGGGTGGCGGCCACACTGGCCGAGGAGCTTTACAGTGTAGTGACCGGCACCTCGGGTCCGCCCCAGCCCAATCACCGCTTCGTCGAGGATCTCATCGCGGAATTGTTGCCCTGCTACCTCACCAGCGCCCTCTGTTCCTTGTTCTCGGCTGCCTCGCCACCCGGGACCAAGCTACCGGACCAGCTGCTGCCAATGTACGTGAGCGTCGCGCGCTCGGACAATCCAGTGACCACTCTCACCGGACAGTTGCTGGCCCTCCTCACCGGCGAGCCCCAGCCCGAGCTCGGAGCCGCCGCCTGCTCGGAGCGACACCTCCTCTGGATGGCCGGGCTCAACGCGAGCGGCGTCTGCATCAACGCCACGGCCAATTACAGCGCGGCTGTCAGCCCGGCCTTCGTGATCGACGGTAGCTACTGCTACGGGCCCGGACCCATTTCCTTTACTTTAAATCATTTGTTCTTGTGTTCGCTGCTCGACCATTCACTGCCAATGAATCGATTATTTATATTTGCATATCAACAGCAGAGCAGACAACTTAGGAAAATACTACGAGAGAGAGACGTCTGTTTGGAGCTATAAATTACATTATAAAATTGGATTTAATTGCCCATCGAATTTGCCACGATATTTATTGACTTCGTTCGACTTTTGTAGCTCCATCGTTATCCTTCGCAACTCTTCAAATTTTCAAAATTTTACAATATAGAGTCGAGTAAATCGTTGTGTTAAATATGTTCAACAGATGTCTGTCTCTACCTTGGAAATTATTTATTATAGATCGAATATTAATTCATCATTAGCAAAGAATATTTGTTTCTAATTAGTACGAATTAAAAAAAGCTTTATAAATTGAAAAGGCATTTCTAAACTCAATTTTTATAGGCAATAAATTAGTTATTATCACTTTAATTTCATGATAATCGATATTGAATACAAATTAGGAATTACTGTTACATGAAAAAACGGTTTAGCAAGGATTATATACGTATATATATTGCATAATTATCATTAAATTACAATAGTTAATAATATTATAAATGTTATATCGTAAATTCAAGTTGGAGTAAAACATACGTGGCTAATGAAATTTTTACATAAAATGACTCAGCAATTTAATATAACTGTTTTATATGCAATAATAATTACTTGATAATTGGAAAAAATTGAAAAACTAAAACGTTAGACATTTGTTTTTGAAATATGAACTCACGTTTTTCTACTTAATGTTTATACTTAATATAATTTAATTATTTTTTTTTTTTTTTTTTTTTTTTAATTTTTCTTCCCAATTTATCAGTGATATATTTTATATATTTTAAGTGCAAGATCGATCAAATAATTGATTTAAAGCTCAAATTTATAGGTATTATATAGATTGCACGATTACAATAACAAATAAAAAATCTTTCATCGACTGATAAGCACAACAAAGCTATCGGTATTCTTTTAAAGTTAAGAATAAACTTTCCTACATTACTCAATGTAATAATGTCTCTTATTAATTGATATAATTGTTCAAATTATTTGTATAAGCCAGATGGCTTTTCGTACGATCTTTTAGCACTTCAGATTTTCTTCGCTTAAAATAATCTATATTATGTATTCGAAGGGCAATCGAATCCTTCTCCATTATTGATTAATGTACGTATTTTTATTATCCGCAGATTACGACATGAAATCTGGTGTTTATTCAACTTGGACGGAATCTGTGTGGCAGAGCCTTGGCATGCGAATGCTTTTGAAACCATCAGCGGCGACAGAAAGATTCAGTTTAATTCTTGGTTCCGTTGTTGCAAGTGTGTCGTTCATTCTTGTATGGTTCGTCACATCCCGAGCAGATGTTTTATTTAATACAGGGTAATTCGATATGGTCTTCTTAGAATTGTACATTGTTAAAAAGACGAATGAAAAATGGCGAGCAAACTTACAAACGAAATGATAAAATTGTCATAAAAAATAAAATGCCTTCCTTTATTCATTCGATCAATTGTCTTTTGCCTAATGCCAAATAATCGATATTATTATAAAAAGTGCATTTTGTTAACAGGTCGGTGGATTTATAGGACTACGAGATCGATCATATATCATTAACCAGTCCGGATTACGAAGAAAATGAGCCTTTTATTTAAACTAGTCCAAAAGTGGTGAAAATACAAACATACATCGAACGGGGACGGAATTAATGCCACCATAGTATTTAAAAAAAAAAAAATTAATTTTAAACTCCATTGGTAATCAAAATATTTTAATGCGATTTCTTTTTTTTATAAACAAGTTTGAAGTTAGAATTACTTTAGAATTTATAAAAAGGCGCATGGAGTTTTTTTTTTTTTTTTTTTTTTTTTTGAAAAATTATTTTTTCTTTTAAATTTGCGCATTTTTGTATGATAAAAATCAATTTTTTTTCCCTTTACTTATTTATGAGAAGTATTGAAAATTTCGTTTAATTTAAATACACAATGGCATTATTATTTGAAGCACAACTAAATGATCTATTAAAATAATTAAATAAGTTTTTTTATAATATTAAGTTATTAATTTTTTACATTAATTATATTTATAATAGGATCGATCCGTTTTACATCAAGGACCGGAATCTAGAAAAGCAGGTTTTTAGATTATTACTCTGATTTGCGATAAATTGAAATTGTATCAGTGTTAGCGACGAAAACAAAATTTCTGATGCAATATAGAAGTCGCGTTTAGAATTTTTAATAAATAAAAAATACAAAAATATATATAAAAACTTACCTCTTAATACGTCGAAAAGAATGTTACACTGTGGCAGTTATGCATTTAATTACGAATTTAATTAGAATTTTTTAATAATAACAGGTTAATAATTATTCGTCCCAGGATATTGTTAATACTGACACAGTTCTCTGATTGATAAATGCTGAGAATAAATGTTATTTTAATATTTAAAACTTTTACTCATTTATTTATTTGTTCGTATAAACATCATAAAAATATTGAAAGTAATTATATTATTTATTAAAAGTGTGTTTAATTAATTATGCTGGGGAATTCTTTCATTTTCAGTATGTAAATAATGAAAATAAGCATCTATGTGCTATTTTCATAAAATAAAAGAAATTAATAACATAAGATAATTTTTTTAATTTCATCGTTTTATTTTTAACGCAAAAATTATCGATTATTAATTGTTAAGTGATTATTAAGTGATTATCGATTGTTAAATTCTTTTGTCAAGGTTATTTATTTAAATGTGAAAAATCAAGACATGGGATAAATAATTAGGACGCAATACTGCAAGCGTGATGGCATTTATTATCGATAAACTTAATTAACAGAGCGTAGATTTACACGAGAGAGAATTAATTCATTCGCTTATGCCTTGTTTAATATGAGATGCGATGAAAAGTCTATGTATACTTGTAGATTATGACTTAAAAACTCTTTATTCAGAACTAGAAATGGTCCAGAATCTGAAGACTTTATCGTTCTCTCTTCCATCGTCACGATCCACTCGTAATAATCAAAGCTAATCACATAAATTTTTGTATTTTCAGAATATATTACACTTAACGGAAGACCAAATATACATCGAAGTACTTTATGGTTTATTTTTACAAAAAGACCCATTAAAGCGACGACGAATATAAATAAAAAGAACTCTCATGCATCCAAAAAAAAATCGTTCTAAGCAGTTTTTTTTTCTTCTGGACCATTCTTACAATCCATTTTTTTTTTAGTTTGTTTTTTCTTTTTAATATTTAAATCGAAATCTTAGGCAGGAGTCTTTTTCGAAGTAAATAACATTCGCATTTCCATACTTACGCGCACACATGCTCTGTAGGACGAAATTTTTCTTTCTTTTTTTTTTCTCTTTTTTTTCTTCGTTTTTTTTGTTTGTTTTGTTTTGTTTTGTATTTGAAACGATTATCGATTTCTTACATATGTGCGCATGGACAGAGAGAGAGAGTTACAGGTCTCGGTTAATATTTTCACTATTTTAAATTTTGTGAGTTTTTGAAAAACTTATATCCTCAACTAAATAAAATATCGGCTTAGGATTAATATTATTTTAGAAAATACAATTCAATTTGGCTTATATTTTGAAGAATAAGTTTTATACGGAATTAATATCGTACACATAAAACGAAGGTTTTAGATAAAAGGTGTTATTTTATCTATTCGGTATTGCATAGGAAGTATTATTAATTTTAGTGAATTTATGGGAGTATTTGAGTAAGAAAATAACGTTTCACTTTCTATTGTTATATATTATTGCAAAAATAAATTCTTTAATAACTTGATTTTATTCAAACATACGTTAAATCTGTATATAGCCGATAAATTAATTATTGAAAATCTTGATAATTTTATGATAAGTAATTTATTCCCTTATCAGAATTCAAGAAAATACTCGTTAGATAGTTTCATTAAATTAGAAATTAGTAAGATAGCTTATTATACCTATATTGTACAATATTGCTTTTTTCACAGTTGCTTCTAATACAAACATTACGTTATTTTAGATTTAAAATCATTTTTAATTTTCAAAACTGCACATATATATATTGTTAAAATCACCTGAAGCCAAACATCTTCGCAGGCTTACGTATGATTCGTCACGAACATGAAAAGTTAAGTTAAAAATCATATCCATCGTATTAAAAAAATAAAATCTTCATTTTTCAAAAACTCCTCTTATAGCTTTTTCCTTACTCTTTGCTCTCGCTCTACATATTATTACGTTGTAGCTCTTTTGCGATTAACTTCTTTTCCATTTTCAAGTATACAATTAGTATTATGAAGTAGGAGGCTGGGCACCGCCCACCGAGTTTATCACAGTCGTCTGGTGCCGCAGCACATACGTATACGTGGTTCAGCCTTAAAACCTACCTCTTAACTTCTATTGTTTAAACCTTAAACACTAAGATTCTTTTTTGTTTTTCTTTATTATTGAAATAATGAGTCCAAGTTAATTGTAACACACGACACCTATTTGCGCCGCCCCCCCTCCTTCCTCATTCCCTCACTACCTCACAATTTTCCACCTTTCATTCATTCGTTCGTTTTGTTTTCACAATATTTACTTATTGCTGTTTGCCGAAGGTATTCGACAATTTCTTTGTTAATTTTAACTTTTGAAAACGACACGCTAGGTGCAGCTAAAAGAAAGTAAAGAGAAAAAGTTTCGTTTCTTCATTGAATCTGTACAAAAAGGAATTGTTCGCATTATTATTATTATTATTATTATTATTATTATTATTATTATTATTAATATTAATATTATTATTATTCTTAATATTATTATTATTATTATTATTATTATTATTATTATTATTCTTTTACTGCATTATAACTAGGTAAAAGAGGAACAGTGTTGCTTCTTTCTCGATCATCATTGCTTTTTTCTACATTTTACTTTCTTTTTCAATCAAATCCTCATTTTTTCATACAAGCGTCTAATTTATTAAATACGAAAAATGTTCATGTCCATTTCTATATCTCATTATAAGTTTATAATTTATATCATTTAATAGGCTTTCAATGAAATAAGCAATACAAAGCTTAATAAAGTATATGCTCTTTAAATGTAAACTGTTATCAGATTCGGAAAAAGCTAATTGTTTAGAATTTTGTTTAAGCATAGTAAATTCCTGTATGTAAAAGCAGGAAGTTTTAAGAGCAGAACGAACTTTATATAGTTTACATAGCAAACTATATTTACTTACAAAACAAAATGGAGAAGGATCGTTTCAGTAGAAAATAAATGACTATTTTAACAACAAATCATTCGTCAAAATGTATCGAACTAACAGAATTGGGGATCTTTAATTGGTTATATGTACCGTGCGATTTTTCAAAAATTTCTGCTTCAATCGTGGATACATTTTTTTGTTATTTGTCCATTTGTTTATATCGTTTTGAGTCAACAGTTTCTTCTCGGTATCGCAGTTAATTATTATATTAATCGTATAATATGTACAGTAGTGCACCGAAGAAGCGGAGGGATACAATTTTGTTATTTTTTTTGTTTTTGTTTATTTTGTTACTTGCCCTCTATTAGAACTTCCAGGTACATGCACAAAAGACGACACTTAGAGTTTAAAAATATAATCATTATATATATATATATTTTTTTTTTTTATATATATTTCAAATAGCGTTTATATTATCGGTATCGATATTTGTTAATTTTAGTTTTATATTCTCATTAATTTGTTTGTTATTATTATTTCTATCATCCTTTTATATCCAGAGGAAAGAAGTCATGTATCATGGTGTATACTTATTGTATCTGGGCACAAATTTTGTCACTATAAAATGTAAAAGCTAATGTCCAAACAGGCCAAATAAATTGCCATGTAATAAGTACGTAAACAACTAATTATATATAATTATGTCAATTATATATTATCATCATTAAAAAAAAAAAGAAAAATAGAAAGAAAGAAAAAATTTATGTAAGTTTCTTTATCCGTAATATCTTTAGATGAATTTTGCATTAATTAAAAGAAAATTAATCCACAATTATATAATGACAATTTTGTATCCGCAATTACACACAATCATAAAAGCATGTTGTTGTCTTTATTTAATTCTGGATAATATTTTATTATCATTGAGGGGCAGCACTTTGGCTACGTCTCGTCGATGAGCTGCAGAGCGGAATAGGGAGAAATTAGGACAAAAACAGGGAAGAAGAAAGAGAGACTATGGCGTGGAAGTTACCACACTCTTCACAATTACATGGCACAATGAAAGTGATATCTATTTTAGTTTTTATTTTTGTTACTTATATTGTATTATGGTGTTCCAGCTTTTAATTAGCTGCTCTATATTCTCTTTCTTTTTTTGCAATAATATTTGGTGTTTTATCGACAAATATAACTTATGAGAGTGAGATACTTCCCTATAATAGATCTTATGGAGATACGCGATTCGAAAATTAAAAAAAAAAAAAAAAAAAAAAAAAAAAAAATATATATATATATATATATACATAGAGATTCAAAAAATTAAGATGCCTATATTGCTCATAAATTGTACAAGAATTATACATTTATATGATTTATATAACTCCCATTGACATAACAGTTATATGTTCATGCATATACTTCAATATAATTCGTATATAATTTACGTATATAAACTTGGATCGTTTGGGAATATAAATCTGTAGGAACTTGTATAAAACTTGGCGATCAGAGGTTTGTTAAAGTTGAAGTAAAAGTAAGGCTAAGCGTTTCGTAAAGCCCAATAGTAATAAAAGATTTAGCACTACCATTGTTATACGGCTGAAAAATAAAAATCACTCTTTTCTTTTAAGCTACGCGTTATTGTTTAATAAAGTCTTGTTGAAGTTTGATAAAAATTGTTCTATTCAAATATAACCGAGAGAAAAAACTGCGTGCTTGAGAAATATCAATCGCGAAAATGGAGAGGACGTGAAATCCATTATAAACACATGCAATTTCCCAAGGTGTAACAATAACGAGCACTTCGTGCCACACACCGGAATCTAGTATTTTGTAAACATAGAAATGGATTTTAAAATCGTTCGTCTGTTACATGAATTTTAAAAAGATACGGCTTGATTATTCAACATCAACAAATTAAAAAAAACAATCTATATTCGTTATTCAAATTTATAAACTTTTGTACGAATCTATAATGGAGCCCATCATAAATTCAATGATCTATTTATCAATTTACCAAAGTTCCCTTTTCCTACATAAATGACGTAAATTCCACTTTCATACTGTTACTTTTTATAATTCTATTATATAATCAATGTTATCGCGCTTAAAATTTGCAATTAAAATATTAAATGCCATAGAAATTTTCCTTAACTAGCTTAAAACGGTTAAAAACTTATGAGATTTTCTTCCTTTTTTCTAATTTATGGATTTCACATCCTTTTCTTTATATATTAACGATTAATGAAATCGATGATCGTAAGTAAACATCCCGAGAGTAACTATTGTACACAATTTATCTTTAATTATTTTGGAAGTAAAAAAGCCGTATTTGTTTATATGACTATTACGCAAAAATCGATCGCATTGTCGATAATACAAAAACTGTACAAGTCTTGGATGATCGATACACAAGGAAATGATCGTGTCGATCTCGATGTATAAATATTAATATTGAACACAGTTAAAAGAATTAAAGTTATAAGAGTCAGTTTATCAGCAATTTTAAAGCGTATCATTATTACTTATTTTCATTTTTTCTTTTTTTTTTCCCCCTCGTATTACAAGGCGCTTCTGATAGAATATTTTTGAGGAAAGTAGGAAGTATTATTAATCGGCAGTATGTTAATAATATATATTCATACGTAGAACCTAAATATATGTATATTTTTTCTCTCGATACATCGTCAAATTTGGAGAATTAATTTTTTTTCTTCTTTTTTGTTTTTTTACCTTTTTTTCCATTTTTTGGATTTTTTTTTTGTTTTTTGTTTTTGTTTTTGTTTTTAAAAAATATTAGTTTCGTTTAATTCTCTACGTGTAAATAAATGTGATTAATGCATTTCTCATAGTCAATAACTAAGTAATATCGCTTAAAATCGTATTTAATGCATTCTTAAGCTTATTGTAAAGTAGTTTTAAATCATTTATTTAAGCAGGAAAATAAAATGGAAGATTAATGTGACATTGGCACATAATAAATCATCGATGGATCGATACATCGCAATAATAAAAAAATTTCAAACTTTAATTAAAAGAAGAAAAAAAGAAATAAATAAAAAAAAAAAGCACGACGACAGAATTAATTATACAAAAGTAAAGGAAAATAAATTTCTACGCGACGAATAAAACTGAGTTTTTCACATTATATAGCACATTTTTAAATATGTATCGGAAATTAAGTCTCAGTAGATAATGGCAATTAATCGTAAAATTGTCAAGATAAACTATCAAAATTAAACATAATGCTGTTTATGATATTACTTAATTATATCCCCCACGATTGGCAATTAACATACTGCCGTTTCAGTCGACGATTGCGCACAAATTTATTAACAGTCGCTACATCACACCTCTCGTATACGCATTGTGTCTAAAAAAGTCAAAGAGTATGCACACACACACGCACACACACGCACGCGCGCACACAACGTGTGCATATGCGCATGCACGTTTGTGCGCGTATCGAGTGTACCTATAATGCGAGTACGTAAACGTACGTACGTGTGTGTGTGTGCGTGTGCGTGTCCATGTATGTACGTATTTCTGTATTTCTGTATTTCTGTATTTCTGTACTTATGTGCTTATGTACGTATGTATGTATGTATGTATGTAAGTATGCATATGATAATATCATCTCCCGTCGTTATAAAAGGAAAGAAGAATGTACAGGAAGAAAAATTATCGGGGACAGATAGTATAAATTTGCACGCGCACAAACACACGACACGAAAAGAGCGTGATAACTTCTAGTCGAGAATATCCCTGATGATTTTCGCGAGAATAGTTTTTTTACGTATCTGACAGTTAAAGCGAAATCTACCCTCGAATACCTTAATACTGTAATGAGCAGTGGGTTGTGAAGGTACGCGCGAGGTGGCCGGTCGAGGTCAGTAGGGTTTTACGTCCTCGATTTCGATGCCGCCGTCCTCGCTGTCTTCGTCGTCGCCGGCGGCTTTGCTTTGCCGATCGCCGCTGCCAATCAAGCCTGCGAACATTATTTATTTCCAAAATTCAATGAATATGCTTAAAGGTGACGGGGAGATGGATGGACGAGTTGCGTGAGCGAGCGGACGGGATATTGGATTCGCACGGTGTAAATTAGTCGAGAGACCTTTGTTGGTAACGAGTAACGATATGCTGACTAACCGGAGTACACACCCTCGGCATCGCTCGAGCCGTTGGATTCGCTGCCCGAGTCCTCGGACTGCCAGTCCGGCTTCTGCTGTAGTTTGCCAGTGCCGGGTCCGGCGGTGCCGCGGCTCTTGGACCGCTGCTGTTGCTGCTGCTGCTGCTGCTGCTGCTGCTTGTTGTTGTTGTTACCGGGACCGCCGGTGGCGCGATGCTGCTGGAGTCCAGCGTCCGTGGCGCCGGCCCCGTCGAGCATCGGCTGGAGTATGCGCCGGCGCGCGTTTATGAACCAGTTGTTGACCTGCAGCAGCGTCAGGTTCGTCTCGCTCGCGATCTGGCGTTTCTCGTCCTCCGTCGGATAGGGATGCTGGAACGGAACTTTCGCGTCATTGACCTTCTCGAGTCGAGTCGGCTTTGCGAGCTCCGAGCGCGTCCATTGGGATCGGAACGAACTAACGAGGACGATTCAACCCCAAGTAGCTACCGAATTGGGTGAACACTTTGGCGGAATAATTTTCCACGAGTTGCGCCCATTGGTTCACTGTAGCCCGACGTAGCCCAAAGCACCATATCGCCTCTACTAAGTCAGCTAAGCATTGGAACTTTTGCGTAGGCAACGACGTGCGAGTCGTATATTCATAGGCGCAGGGAAATTCGTGATACGACGCGCAACCATTAGGACGTAGATTTGTAAGGGCGTAGGGCAGCCTCTTTCATTACGCATTGAATGGACAATGTAAATGATCTTAGCCGTGCACAGATAATTAACAGTACTAACTGCAAATGCATTAGCAGTCGTATAAGGATAAGGAGAGTCGGTAATGGCAGGTTGTTGGTATAGCGGCGCGGGGAGCTCGGCTTAACAAAGTGACGGATCGCGAGTCTGAAATTATCGCCATTTTAACTTTTACGTGGATACTAACGACTAAATGCTGGAAGAGCCAGGCTCGCATGATGTTGGTGGCCTGTTTGGGAAGGACACCCCGCTTCGGCTTGGTTTTTCGTCCGCTGAGTGAGCCGACTCCAGCGGCCGCGGCGATGCCACAGGCATCCTCGTCGTCTTCGCTCTGCATCGACGAGGGCGAGCCTACAACAGTAATATCTGACACAGATCCGCCATTACTCATTGGGACCTAGGATTACCGAGGAAGGCTCAGGGCATGCGAGGTAAATAGCTACCGGACTTTGTTTTTTTTTTGTTTTTTTTTGTTTTTTTTTTTCTGTCAATACAACGTTATTTCACCAGGGCGGTAAGATGGATAGTAATAAATGGATTTTTGTTAAAAAATCGAAGTTTTAACTGTTAGATGTGTCCGATCCTCGACCACCACGTGACAGAAAGGGCTCGTTTTGCCGGATCCATTTCATTTGTACAGCAATGTCATAATTATCGTTATCGTTTATCTTTTAGTCAAAGTTATTTGATTTAAATTAATTATTTTCACTGACTCGTGACCACTCTACCTTTACTTTAGGTCCGAGTATACAGGAAAATTATGCAATTTTCATTTGTAGCTACGTTTTCTTTTCCGCTACACAATGACACAAGCAATTTATTACATCGCGTTTAATTGTTCTATTTATAAAATTATATATTATTTAATGTATATTTTTATCGGCCTGTGAAAGTAAAAATTTATCATACGATTTAATGTTTAAAATGATTGTACGAACAATTATTAAATAAACTAAATAAGTACTCGATGAGTAAGTGAAGTATGGGCATTTCGAGTAGTGGTATTCTGAGCGTAAATAATAGAAAGTGGAAATGAGGTAATTAAAGGGAAGAGGAGGAGGAGGAGGAGGAGGAACGTGGAAACGCAACAGTTACAGACTGACACATGGAAATAGTAGTTTACTTGATAAAAATAGTATTTGCTTTATCAACTGTCGGCTCCTCGACAAATGAACTTTTTCGGGCATTTGTTTTGTACATTCTACAAAATATTAAACGCGCCCCTCGTACGAGGGCTGTTGTATTAAAGAGATGGGACAATATTTTCTATAGACAATCAAGAGAATTTGAATGAAAAGCCCATTTATCTTGTTTATATATATATATATATATATATGTAGACGAAGAAGCTTAAACTTGATTGCAGCTGGCAGTATATTGTAAAATTAAATGGAAAGAATGAGACGAAGATAACGTTTAATTGTGAAATTGACGTGTTAATAAATGTACAGCATGTCATATTATATCAGTCCGTAAGCGTTGATTTTCCAGCTAGATAAACAAGGAAAATGTTGTACTCTAACCGCCAAAGCCTTTTTTGTTATGTATAGCCGCTACTCCCAAAAATTCATATTCATTCTTTGTATCTTGCATAGCGAACAGTCCCCAGTAGCTAGCTTCTTCTACATAAACTCTGTCGGACGTATTACTCAATGGATCCACTTCTATAATTGGGAATAATAATAATAAAACGAAACATCCATATGCATACTGTGCACTGGGTAATTTGAGTCGATGCGCCGGAGATTGAATAAAGCCTTCTCCTTTTGCTTTTATTTAATCTCACGGAGATAACGGGAATGGCCTTTTGTTGTTTATTGGCGGGAAATGTTTAAGTATTTTGTTGGTTGAGAGGTAGAATTTACGACCGCGTGAAATCGATAAACATATGACATAACGTTGCTAGCATTTTCATTGTCTCCGTGGATCTTCGTTAAGTCTTCCTTTATTACTTACGATCCTCACGTACGCTTTTATTGTAATGTTATTACTACTTTTCATACATTGAGAGCTCATCCATGAGAGACATCGTTATGGTATATAGTCTAGCAACGGAAAAAAATTTCATATTGCATTTGAATTTTTTACGTTGAAGTACATTGGTTTTATAATGACGAAGGAGCATATTTATGTTGCCATTGAATTAATTTTAATACCGCGTCGGCTTAAGTTGTCAAACGCGCGAAACCAACGATAAATTTAAGTTCGCCTATTCATCGAGATGATAATAAATGAATTGAAAAATGTTAATTTAATATATACGTCTTAGATACTATTATTATTAATACTATAAATATTAATGAAGGGGGTTTGAGTGGTAGAGCAGAACAAAATAAAACATTTCAATGGTGAACTTAAAGGAGACTTTAAGAGATAGGGAACTTTCATTGGCCAAAGGTAATGTGTTATCGATTATATTTTAAACTTTTTTCATTCGAATTAATGTAATAATTTAGCAATAATTCATCATTAATGTTGCTAAAATTGACAATATCGAACGATAAAAAAAAAAAAAAAAAAAAAAAATTTAAATATAATTCAATTAATTAATAAAAATATTCAAAGCACTGGAATATGCCTTGTAAAATTATAATTATCGAATGATAGAGAAATTAAAATCAACGGAATTATACAGATTAATATAATATTAAAATAGCTTGAATTGCTTATAAGAAGAATCTTGAGCTATTATCACATACGTTTCAATTTTCGTCAAACGGTTTATCGTTAATTTCAAGAAGGTTTAGGCTGTGCTTTTCGAGAACTTGTAATTTCAACGAAGAAGTAAAAATTCCCATCATTAAATTTGCGTTACGACGTTATGTTAATTACGTCTACATTCGTTTTCTTTTTTTCTTCTTCTTCTTCTTCTTCTTTTTTTTAAACTCCATTCGACACTCGAAATGTCGATTTCAACCACACGACGAATTTCCAGTTTTGCGCCAATTAAGCGCTCGTTTTACCATACAATGCGAAACGAGAGGTATCATTTATCGAAGCTATATGCGACTCATCAAGTTAACAAAGTCCAGACTTCCGCAACTCGTTCGGCACAACGTGCCTCGAGCAAATGGACGAAATTTAAGATAAACTCGGCTCGAAAGTCTCGGCGCGAATAAAATATTCGGATGAAGGGGAAAAGCGGCACAGGTCGGGCGCGACATTCCGAATGTTGAGCGCGACACTTGAGTACCGTTGGTAGCTCGACTGGATAAAAAAAAAAAAAAAGAAGAAAAAAAGAAAAAAAAAGACGAAAAAAAGACGGAAAAAAAAAGAAAAAAAAACCTCGAAATATCAATTAACTTCTTCGTTGGAATTCAGGGACGAATTGTAGGTAAAAAGCCATGCCCGGCCTCGAAAATAATCTCCTTATCGTCGTCAAGAGTTTCGATCACGGCGCTGAAACACGCCGGCCATGCAAAGGCTCGATCGTCACCCCTCCCCCTACCGGCTGCCCCCAACCTGTCGACGGACCCACCCGGCCGGCGAGCATCGGAGAAAAGAAAAGAAAGGCCAGGTTTGGGGGTCACTTCGTCCGGTCCAAGGCTGGCCATTGGCCCGGGCTCTCATCGTTATACCTTGGCCGAGGTACATGTCGTTGACGGGGGCACAGGCGGTCGCGCATCCATGATTCCCAATCTGCGACAAGGGCGTGCTCCCGTGAACGGTGCTCGGTGACGGTGGCTGTTGTTGCTGCTGCTGCTGCTGCTCCAGATCCTGGCCAATGCTGCGCTCCGAGACGCTGCGTTGGCGCTGGGCAGCGCTTGCGGAGGACGCGGACCTCGCCGAGGACGGACGGCTGACGTAAATTTGCTGCTGATCGTCCAGCGGATGGTGCTGTTGATGGTGGTGGTGGTGGTGGTGATGGTGGTGGTGGTGGTGGCGCTGCTGCTGCTGCTGCTGATGCGACCCTGCGCCGCCGCCTCCGCTGCCGTCACCACCGCCGCCGCCAGAGCCGTCACCGCCGCCGTTGCCGTTCTCCGAGGGGTCCTCGGACGCTCTGCTCACTCGGAGTCCGTTAGCTCCCGACTCAACATCATTGCCTGTAGATGACAGCACCTGGCAAATATATGTTGCAGCTAGCTGTCAGAGAGCAGGGGTCGGGGTACTAATTGGCCGTAGCTTACAAGAGGCGCGCTTTTCGCGTCGTCGCGGCCTAATCGCCAACCACGTGCCTCGCGCGCTAATTCATATATTGTATACGATTTTTCCGAGACGTCCCGGGGACTCAATTGTATACCATTTCATACGTCACGTGCATAACGGGCGAGCTTGTTTATTCGCGTTGATGCGATATTTACCTTTTTGTTAAGCCAGCGAAAGCTAGGCGTGTTTGGTAATCTAGTGAAGTGGCAAACGGGTCACGCTGACGCGACAGAACTTCCGCCAAGTATTGAAATTTCATGGATTTTCAGCGGATGCCGCCAGTACGTGGTTATGCAGATGTTTTTTTTTCTCTTTTCCCTGTCAAGCTCTCAAACGTTTATGTTGTATTACTTTTACGGGTTTACATTTAACCGTAACTAATGCATATATAGGCAAATGCACGCATACGTATATACTTAGGCACGCGTGTAGTTTTAGTAAATAAAACATTTTTTAATTATGTTGCATTTGCAAGAGATTACATCTTGTTCTAAATCTAGTGCAACGGATAAGACTTTAATGTACGAATTGTTTAGGATAAGGGCGTTTGCATAAAGCAGCCGTTATTGATTAATTGATTAACTTGTCGTTTATAATTATGTACAAAAATTTACGCGTAAAGTGAACCAATTTCTATTACAACAATAAGAACAACAACTAAAAATAATAATAATAATAACGTCAATAACGACGACGACGACGACGACGACGACGAGAACAATAATAATAATCATAACAGAACAATAACCATTGCCATTATTATTAGGTATGTTGAGAGTTTAGATGAAAGCAATATTTTGAAAATAAAAACAAATTAATCGATACAGTTATTTAGCGTTAATGTTTTAACGTAACAAATAATTTAATAGAAATATATAAATATGCAATTTTAATTAGGCATATTAGAAAATATTATTTTATTTTACCATTTTGATTTAATTATTTACTGCTGAGAAAACAATGAATTTTCAATAAACTTTACGTATTAACGAACTGCGAATATTATAATGATTTATATTTCCGAGTTTTCAGAGAAAGCTTTTGCTTTTACTTGTCTTATATCAAAGAAAGGCTAATGAAAATCTTACAAACTACATTAACTTGATATTATTTTTATAAAATTTAGAAGATGACAATAATATTTTAATAATACGTACAGATTTTATAAAATTATTTTTAAGTTTTATATTATTGTGTAAGCGAAGGCTCTAATTTCTTTCCTTACACAAACGACAGTTATTATATTTATTTGTAAGATAATTCGAATATTAATATCTGTTACAATAGATTGGAAAATTTTACGACTCAATAAAACAGGATATAGGAAACCAGTTACAATACAGCGCTGTAAAAATCATTTCTTATCGACCGAAGAAAATTGAATATATTTTTTTTATTCTTTTATCATTTTTATACAATTTAAAACTAATTTACTCTCCTAAGACGCTATAAAATGAAATTACTACATTCTATATGTTTATTGTACTGTAAGGAAAGAGCATGATATTTTGTGTTATTGCTGTAATTTGTTTTATTATTTGTAAATAAAGCATAAAATCCTGTAGATTAAGAATACAATCCATTAATACGGTATTTTATATAGATTATTACAAATCGATATGATATGTTTTATTACTTCTAATATAGATATAGAGTATAGTGACTAATAATTAAAATAATATTTTAACTATAAAGACATGATGAAAATGACTTGGCGCGTACTAACACTTATTTCGAATATATAAATTCGACAATATGCGGAAAGATTGTAGAATAAGTCTCTTTGAAACATAGAAATCAGCCATCTAATGTAACATCAATTTACACAACTAAATTGACTTGATTATAATGAAAATGATTTAATTTACTGTTCCATAAGTACAGACAGTAAAAATCATAGATTTCGATGAACTTTCGGGCTTCAAACATGATTGATGAACGTAATATATAGTTATTGATCTGGAGGGGGGAGGGTAAAAAAATAAAAAAGAAAGAAAAAGAAATGGAGAGACATTGACAAATTGAAAATTCGAAGACGCAAATTCATAACCTCTATACGGGATAACCCTTGCCGAAGCCCTTATCAAAACTTTTCTCGTTGTCGGAGACTTCTCAGACACATCTACCCACGTACATACACACCCACTCACCCTACTCTGACTACCTCACCCATTCTCGTCCCTCCACGTCGCCACTGTCTATCTAAAATACGTAACTGTCGCAATAAAATACGCGCGTATACATCAATGGACACAATGCGTGTAACGGAGTGCTAAGAGAAAATCATTTCCCATTTCCGCGGTAGTGTGTGTTTCGCGTGTACGATATAAAAGAGCCTCTTGACGCGCCTCTCCGCATCATCGGGATATCTACTCGGGGAAGCCGTGGAAGGGGAGGATCAAAAATACAAACATAACGTACATGAAAAATATCGAGGACAAAGGAAAGCACTAACTCGACAAGCACATTGAAAATAAAAATGTATTATAAAATTAGACGAACATTTACTCAGCATTGATTCGGCAAATTGTTTCTCATTCTTTGTCGCGAGTCCAATTCGACTTTATACATTACTTTTGTATCATTTTATTGTAATTGAGAATATCGTAATTTTACAATGCAAAGCGAACATTCAATATCGACTACCAAGACATTTACTTTATTTACTTTTATCTTACGATCAATACAATTGAACATTAAAAATAGATGGATTAAAAAAATATCATTCGTCATCCAAATTAAGATGCTTGGTAGCATATAATCTTTCTATAAACCTTTCTATATGTTATTTTCAAACACTGCGATATTCGCATCGAAGCATTCGCGTTTATATTTAAAATATTCGTTTGCGTGAACGTTCGCTTTATGTGACAAGAAAAGTACAGAAAACATATTGATTAGCATAAGATATAAATAAATATTTTATCAAGACAATATATATATATATTTTTTTTATGAAAACAAATTAATCATAAAAAAAGTATAAAAATGAAGCATGAAATAATAACTATTAAATTAAACTATCTACAATGGATATGAAAGATAAATGAAGATTTCTAGGATCGAATATAACTATTGCTATTATTCTTTCATAATCCTGTTTCACAAAATTAAGAATTTACATGTATGTGCGTTATGGAACGTGCCACTGGAGAATAAGCTTTTATACATGTGCAAATTTATACATGTGTGTATGCGTGTGTGAGTACGTGCGTGCGCGCGCGTGCTAACGCAAGAATTTATATATTTATATGTGTATACAAGTATGTACAGAGGTACCTATTAAGCACACAACACATACGCGCACACAACACATGTGTACACATACGCGCATACAAACACGAATGAAAGAAGGAAAGAAACGTAAATACATACATACATACATACATACGTGCATACACACTCATATATCATACAAATGTACATATACATAAACATATATTTGAATAATAATATATGAAGATTCAACACGGACAAAGTTAATGTGGAATTTATACCGAGAATGGCATGATATTTACATTTCTACGCTAACTAAAGAGAGCCTTATTGAAAATAAAAAAAGTAGTTTCACCCATAAAAAGTAAGCCCGCGTCATTTAAAACTAAAAGTTTCCTTTAATTAATTCAAGTAATGGAGAGCAATTGTTATTTTGCATTGTTCGAATGTATAAGCTTTATGTAGATTAAAAAAGAGATAGATAGATATATAGATAGATAGATAGATAGATAGATAGATAGATAGATAGATAGATAGATAGATAGATAGATAGATAGATAGATAGATAGATAGATAGATAGATAGATAGATAGATAGATAGATAGATAGATAGATAGATAGATAGATAGATAGATAGATAGATAGATAGATAGATAGATAGATAGATAGATAGATAGATAGATAGATAGATAGATAGATAGATAGATAGATAGATAGATAGATAGATAGATAGATAGATAGATAGATAGATAGATAGATAGATAGATAGATAGATAGATAGATAGATAGATAGATAGATAGATAGATAGATAGATAGATAGATAGATAGATAGATAGATAGATAGATAGATAGATAGATAGATAGATAGATAGATAGATAGATAGATAGATAGATAGATAGATAGATAGATAGATAGATAGATAGATAGATAGATAGATAGATAGATAGATAGATAGATAGATAGATAGATAGATAGATAGATAGATAGATAGATAGATAGATAGATAGATAGATAGATAGATAGATAGATAGATAGATAGATAGATAGATAGATAGATAGATAGATAGATAGATAGATAGATAGATAGATAGATAGATAGATAGATAGATAGATAGATAGATAGATAGATAGATAGATAGATAGATAGATAGATAGATAGATAGATAGATAGATAGATAGATAGATAGATAGATAGATAGATAGATAGATAGATAGATAGATAGATAGATAGATAGATAGATAGATAGATAGATAGATAGAGAGAGAGAGAGAGAGAGAGAGAGAGAGAGGAATTAGGAATTCGCGTTTCTCTCCTGGAATAGTCGAAGGCTCATTCGTTGCAATGAAAAGCGCGAGAATGGCCACTTGCGCTTACTGCTGAAATTGACGTTCTCGAGCGACGCGCGTAAGTAGTTTGGAAAAGTTTTGGCTTAATAGATCGCGGCTGTCGGGCCTCCCGCGCAAATATCACGGGCGCCATTCTTAGATGTAGTCATCGGTGATTCAAGACGATGGTGCTGATAGGATAGACGAATGGATGATGAGTGGGTGGATCGGTTGGTTGGTTGGTTGGTTGGTTGGTTGGTTGGTTGGTCGGTTGGTTGCTTGGCTGAATGATGGATCGTGAAGTGAACAAGGAAGTTGTGGCGGTGGTGATGGTGGTGGTGAGTGGCTGGTTGGACAATTAGATTCTAACCTGCAGGGGACTGCTGCCGTTGCTGCCGCTCGACGGCGCCAGGCCATCGTGACCGGCCCCGTGGTGGCTGTAGTCGCTGCGCAGCAGATTCTCGCTCTGCATTTTGCCCTTGAGACAGGTTATGTAGCGGTTGCAGAAGTCCTTGCAGAGCTCCTGCACCTTCTCCAGCTCGAGCAGATGGATGCGCAGGACCTGGATGGCCTTGATCATCTGCGCGAAAACGCCGTTAAGCGAATTAATCCGAATGCTGCCGCGATAATAAAATACGATCACTCCCTCGTCGCTCATCTTTTCGCGTTTATATTTTTGCGTTTATTTACTTATTTATTTTTATTTATAGAGAAGTTCTCGTGTCTCGGCATCTGTCTCGACCTCGCCAACTTTTTTCATTGGCGAAGTTGTAGAGTGCGCAGACTTGACGCAATATGGCAATCGCCGGGGCCGTACGAGTTGCTCTTCTCGCTTTATCTCTTTTTTCTCGCGCGTAATTCGTGGTTGGCTCGCTCCCTTTTTTTTCATCCTTGATAAATAGATTTTAATTAAACCTGTGTATAAACCTTTGCTGAGTCAATATCCCAATGCTCTTCTTATATCTCATATTATCATTTTGTTTGATATTCTTACGCTCTCACTTAAGTTCTTTAGTTTAAATCTTATTTGTATTAATCGCGCGACTATTAAGTTTCATTGCAATTACAGAAATCTGGCTTTATTTTATTATAGAATAGAAATTTCATTGAAATTGTAATATAAAAGTATCATAGCAGTAATGACATTACGTATTACGTGACATTTTGGCTTTATGGATACAATAAATATATAAAACTTTCCATTAAGAACGTTTAACGAGTAACGCTTTGATTTCTGTTTAACATTGGTTAATTCCAGCTATCTTGTTAGAACGCGTTAAAGGCCGTCCCAACCATTAAGTCTGGAGTAATTTTTTTCTTTTTTTAAATTTCTCTACGGCCTCGCGTACCGAGAATACGAATATATTTTTCGAATGAAAGTATTGTAATATACGTACTCATAATTAATGTTCGGAGTATAAAAACAAAGAATAAAAAAAAATATAATATCGATAATTAGATGATAAGGCATTTAGTTTAATAATTGAAATGGAGTTTAATCATTGAAAAAAGAAAATATAAATTTATGCCAAATGTCGCCGAAATAATTTTAAAGTTATATGCTTATGTATGCATCCCTAGCAATATAGACTGGAGTCATTAAATCTGCAAAGTTGTATTTGAAGTTGAACATTTAAAGGATTAAAACGGTATGCTCTTTTGAGAATTTGTAAAACTTTCCAGTATTAAAGTCAATGCAGGATTAAAATTGTATTAAATTAACCATGGTAAGGGAATTTGGTACTTTAAAAGAGGAAATTCCCATCTTATAAGAGTTCTTTGAGATAAAAAGGAAGAGCAATATAAAGTTTTAGTCTTCTATTTCATGATTGTGCTTATAAATTTGTAAATATTCATTGTTACATTTGTTAATGCTAATTAAATGATTTTTATTCATTACTGAAATGGCTAAATTAAATTCTAAGCTCGTTGATGAAAGTCTGTATCAATGATATAATATATTAGTTTTTACATAATTTGCATTAGTTATCGTTAAATATGCACGAAAGCATATTTGCCTTGTGAATTCGAGCCAACCTTTATGATTTTATTGAAGTACCATGTACTTAAAATATTTGAAGTATATGTTAATAATTGTAACTATTACAATACTACTTTCTTAATAAACATTGTTTCAGTTTAATTAATGTTTCATGTCATTTGATTATGTAATTACTTGACTTTATATGCAATCGTCGCAGAGGCGACAATTTTATTTATGAAATATTAATAAATACGCGGAGGATGCAATAAAAGTACAAAATATTGAAATCTATGTAATGAACAATAATGATTTGAAAAGGATTGAATATTCATGAGATATGCTTTGTTTATAAGTATTCAAAGATTTCAAATTGTCGTGTTAAATTCAGGTCGAGCAACTGCCGATAATACAAATTTATATTTTAACGCAGTTAATTTTATCCTGTCATTATTCCTTTTTTTTTTTTTTTTTTAACATGGATATTAAAATAAAAATCTCACTAAAATTAAATATCTTCTTGATATATTATCCTTTCCCAATATTCATTTTATAGTTTTTTTTTTTTTTTTTTTTTTTTTTTTAATATAAATTTATACAAATACATGCGCGCGCACGCAGATAGATAATATTTTTTAGCAAAGGTTTTTCATTTGGTGTATTTTATTGTAAATTTTCGTATAATGCCTTTAATTTTAAATCTTTACATAAGAACGTTAATAAGGATAATTAATTTAAAGATTATCTGTGCTTGTTAAGGTTTCGTGTCACGAAGGGTGAGATAATTTGCTAAACGAACGTATCATTAAATGCGCATTTTTAAGCCTTTTATTCCACATTTACATTTTTGCTTCTCAAATACCATCTGTCAAAGATACTAATTGCGTATGTTATAAAATAAATTTTACTTCTTTACGGGTAAGGCTTGATCGCGATAAATCTCGAGCGAGTCGCAGCGCACACGATTCACGAAGCCAGTCGTATGTCCAATCGTCGAATGCTTAAACGAATCGTGAATGAGATCCCGAGGTATCCCGCGAGTCTTAACGCGGACCACCTCCACGAGGTTTTTCGACCCCGAGTATCGAGGGAAACGAGATTGAGGGGGTAGGTGGGTGGGGTTAGATCATCGGTCGCGCCATCTCCATACCCACCAGGCCGTCAATCTCCGGGTCATTGATGAGGAAGGGCTTGCGGTCTCTCTCCTGGTGCTGGACGAACGCCTGTATGTCCATGTTGAAACTCTCGGAGGTAGAGTTGTCGGAGCTCTGGGTCGCCTGCTCGCATCTCTCGAAGAGTAGCGCCAGCAGGGGGGAGAGCGGATGCTTGTAAACTTCTTGGTTTGCGGCCCGGATGCTTGTAAACTGCTCGCTTGTCGGCCTCGAACTGCGCCTGATCCTGGTGACTCGCGTAATCGGCTACCCCACTGGCAGGGTCCTGATCGTAGCCAGGGGTCACCATCGCTAGCGCCACCGCGGTGCTGCCCTCTTGCATTCTATCATTCCTCATAGGGAGCGGCAGAAGCCTCCAGCATCGTCGGGACTAAGCTCGCGCGGTCGACTGGACGCCGCAGCGCTTCACCGCGACGCACCGCGCGTCCTGGAATGAGAATTGAGACGGTCAGTTGACGTGGTGCTCGCTAAAATTCATTGCGCGTATGGGCTTGAATGGCCGTTGGCTCGATGGCAGGCCTCCGTCGGCAAGTAACCTTTTCCTAGGTGCTTGGTTACGTAGTAATTTAATACCCGGTCGGCTCCTTGCCGAGTAGCGCTTTTTATACTCCGACGTCCGATTTTTATAATTGCCTAGTAAGAAATGAGCTTTGATTGACTAAGTGATGGTTGGTTTGATGGTGGGACAGAAGGGCGGGGAGGGGAATTACAGGCAGCGTTCGTACGGAGTTGTTTGATATTTCCTTATTGCGAGAAATTATCAGTAAGCGCTAGCGTGTATTTATAAAGCCCGAGTGATTTGCGGATGGATTACAATGTAAATTTAGTACCTCGCATCACGCTTACGTGTTTAATTACTCGTTACCCATTTTGCAACATTTCCCATGCGTTTTATTATTTTTATGCATTTTTTTTTTATGCGCGCGCGTGTTTGTGTGATATCTCGACTTGGAAGAACAAATAGAAAATTTTAATACCGTGCCCAATGAAATATCGAATTTGAGAACATTTTCTACTTAATTATATGGGCTTTATTAATTAATGCATTAAGATCTAATATCAAATTTGAAAATGTAATTTTCAATATTACTACAGCATCAAAACTCATATCCTAAACTGGATCGCATTGTCATTACCGAAACACAGTTTCGATTAAAGATTTCGAGTAAAGCGCCTTTCGAACGTTATAGCATGTTTCTTTACCTGTCAATATTTAGTAATTAAATAATAATTATTATATTGTACGGGGCTCATTCTCTCTTAAGAAAAAGAAACAAAAAAAAAAAAAAAAAGAAAAAGAAAAAAAAATGCCTTGGTCTCTAGTTTTTTACTCTTAACAAAATTTATCTACATCGTTTATTGGTTCGAATCTCCATAAAATTCGCAAATACGTAATTGTCGTTTAAACTGGCCTAACCCAAACGTGCGACACAAATCCTTGATAAATACTATACGTATAGAAACGCTTGATCTATCTTTTATAATTGCTGCTGTGATTTGTGAAAAATACTGTGGGCGGGGTCATTTGTATCACGTACTACAAATATCGGGCAGCGTTACTATAAATCAATATTAAATCCGACCACGCAAGATGGCAACTCGAGTATCTTCGCGAAGGCGCTCGCGGATGTAAGTAACGCACGATACGCGCCATCTTCCTTGCATAATGCCCCTTGTTTGGTTGGAGCCGGGGGCAAAGCGTAAGAAAAAAGTACGAGGCGACTTTTGATTAAGTATTCATTGCAAAAAAGGGCGTCGATCTCGATTCGCGGCGCGAACGCACCTTTATCCTTCGTACGCGGCCGCGGCGACGCGTCGAACGAGCCCCACTGCATTTAAATGTCATCATTACGGGGCTGTCGCTGTCGCTCTTCCTCTTGTACACGAGCGCAGCCTCCTCTCGGCCGCAGATTCCCTCCCACTCTCTACAACTCGCCCCGCGACCTCAACCCCCCCCCCCCCCCCCCCACGCCCCCCACCCCCCCCCCCCCCCTCTCCTGACTTGGCGAGGAAACTTCTACTTTCGCTGGAATTCCTTCCTAGATTCGAATTTTCCCTCTAGCTTTTTCCTTTCGTACAAAGCTACAGAGACTCCAAGGCCGTTTGCGAAAATGCCCTTATGAAATTTTTAATAATTCATATTAAGGGATGTGTTTCGGTGCGAGGACAAAATAATGTAGCGGGCGCTAGTTTTTATTGACAGCTGCCAAGCCAAGGTATTGCATGTAGTGATTCAGCAAAATTCAGGTGGCTTTTATGATGCGACGGGCCAGAAATTATTTGGCTGCTCGCTAACAGAGCGCGTCCCTTTGTGCTAATTAAATTGTTATTTAAATGCGCGGGATCTGGAGAAAAAATTGTCATTGTTGGTGGCTTAAAAAATAAAAGTGATTTATGGAATTCTCGAGGACCGTTATCTATTTATGTTTTAATGAACAATCGTGTTGCTTCTCATTGGCTTTAATAATACATAAAGGAAGTTGAAAGGATAGAGTAGAGAAATTTCGAAAGTAGATAATGTGCTTTGATTTTCATGCCTTAATAATTAAACAAGCCGATACTCGAGCGCGTGCTTTACGAATCTTTTTTTTTTTTTTTGTTCTTTTTTCTTTTTTTACGCTTTACCCTATTCCTTCTGGATTTTGAATATTTTAACAAAACCATGAATAAATGTAACATCGTGGCAGTAATATTATTGTTAAAGAGTACATGATATTTTATTTCACTTCCTCTGCATAAATAACGTAGTACTAGATTTATAATTATGTCCATTATTCTCTATTAATTCATTACATAATATTAGTTATGCTAAACTCAGTCTATTATGGCTGTCTGGTTTGTTTTTTTGTTTTTATTTTTTATTTTTTGTTCATAGAAAGGTGGGCATTGTTGTAAGCTTTACCATTAATTAAAAGGCACGATATTAAATTAAAAGACTCCATAGTACTGTGTATTTTATTTTACTATTAATTTATATTAAAAATTAACTTTTTGTCAACATTTTCCTCTTTATCATACATTATTACCAAAGTGTACATTCATATTCATAATGTTTTCAATTAAAATATTTTTACGTAAAACGTTTTAACTACCGCTTGCACGTATCATCATCATACGACGTTCAATAAAACAATAAAATAGTGCCTTTATTAGCTCTCTAATAGAAATTGTAATGACAATTATACGATAGTAGATAGTCATTTTAAACTTATTTAATTATTTTAAACAATAATCTCTTAATGCTGTTACAAAAAAAAAAAAAAAAAAAAAAAAAAAAAAAAAAAAAAAAAAAAAAAAAGGACAAAGAAGACAAAACGTCTACAAGAATATCATACGTTTTGCTTTATCTTACGAGTTTAAATAGTAATTTTTTCATACATTCAAGTCAGAATAAGCATTGTTATTTATGAGGAAGTCGAAGAAAGATATAAATAAACCATATTATAAGTTAAAATTTTTAAACAATGTAAGTTTATCATTACGCTATGTAAGCCAACTGACAATAAGTTACATATAAAAATGCCGTCATTTCAATATTAAAAAAGAAAAGCATCAATATAAAAAAGCGGAGCCAACTTATTTACATCTTAGAAAAAAAATTTTCTCATTTTCATTAGCATGGTAATAATAATTACTTATTCGTTAACATAACGGCTTGTCCTCTTTGCCTAAAGAATGAATTTACGAATTTTTGACAACAGTCGACAAAGACATTAAAATCCCAGGAACAATGCTGTTTGTTGCACGGCACGTATACACGAGAGATAAATATTTAACTCGCCGACACGTCGAGAAAAGAAAGGAGAAGTATTATTCCCTTTGGCTTGTGATACGCATGTATCTGCCGTCAATGTTTTAAGTCGAGGTGAGGTGCACACATTTACAAACGTGAGGCAAAAGAAGTGTCGAGCCAACGTCGTTGAGGTGGGGCGTGCGGGTGGTGGTGGCAGCGAGGGGCCAAGGAGTTTTCATCCCCGCGAGGATTTGCTCGGCAGCGAGATGGAGAGAGCGGAGGCGAGGAGAGCTCCCGGTCTCCGATGCGAATCTCCCAAAGCCCGCGGAATTCCGAGCCGAGAGTCTCCGCTGCGTGAATAAATAAAACCAGGGGCACTTTGCCGACGCGCGGGGGGCACGTGACGAAAGCGACGACGAACTCGCGGATGCCGGTGGGCATTTATGCATTGCCTCCGCGGCTTCTTTTCTCCCCCTCGAGTTTTCCCGGGCGCACGTATAAGTGCGGCAGGTACGACGTCGGGAAAATTTTAGAGTTCCGTCTCGCTCGCACTTCCTTATGACTAGAATCACTGCGCTATTATAAGGTGGGCCCATTCTTGACGCGGGGATGGATGGTTTTGGTTTATTTATATCGGTACTTGTCATTTCTTTTGGTTTATGCTGACGAAGTAAATGCGTGTTAACGATGGGGAGGGGGGGAGGGGGCGCCGACGACTTTGTCAGTTAAAATTGATTTCGCTTTTATATAACAGGCCGTTCACCGTTTACACGTACCATTTTCGTAATTGCATCCCGAGTAATTAATTACCTTGATGGACTTTCTTTTTAATAGAATGTCTTTGTAGATAAGATGGCAAAGTATAAATTGTCGTCAACGTCGTTCGCTATCATCACGTTTTCAAGAATGATATATTATAACCGAACATATTTATAGTGCATATTTATAGTGTTAATACCATTACTGTGTATTGCTGCCATTGAGGCAATGTAGATAGTTATTAAACCGCATTAATTATATTAAATTTATGCCACCGCACAATTATTCCATTCAAAAATGCATAAATTGGTTTGGTATATAAAGGAGAAATCGTGGTCTTCGATACGATTAGGAAGTTTCTAATTTTAACGAATATCGGGCACCTCCTCTCCAAGTATTTCCCTAAGCGCGCACAAATGTCAACTCCTATCGATGCACATGTTGCGTGATCGTAAATTTATCAAACACACCGCGATAAGCATTTAATAGCAAAGTATTCAGCGAAATTTAAAAATTACGATTAGATAAATTGAAGAAGAAAAAAAAATTAATTGAATATTATTGATTTATTTTATTATTATGTTACTTTTTTTGCGCCCTACAGATGTCGCATTACACTTTAACGAAAAAATTTGTATGGCAAAATATCCACTGTTTTCCGTTATCGCGCAACACCACGTAATAGAAGCGTTCATTATAGTTTATCATTACCAACGGTATTTATAATTGTAATAAGTTTAGCTTAGAAAATCACAACCACGATGCATGAACACAAAACTAGCGTGAAAATTAAATAAATATTTGAAAATCGAGCATAAATTTGTTGAGTAAATTACCCTGACTATCAATAATAAAATTAACAAACTAAGCAGTAAAAAAAAATAATTCTTATTCCCTCACCGCAGAATGTTGCATCCATTTACGGCTTAACTCGT